GAATGTCAGGATTATGTGACAGTCACTGTTCTCGGACTTGGAGTACGTCAAAGAAAAAAATATATAATCCTTGCCATCTTTGCACTTGGACTCAAGTGATGAAGATGATAATACCCACCTTGAGAGTTACACCAACTGCATAGATAACAAATGTGAGGGCTCTTTGTAAGCCACAGGGTGTTTTGGGAAAGTTGAGTCTCATTACTTTTGTACTCAAAGAAGTGAAGTGACTTGTCCAAGGTCACAGGCAGCCCTAGCTAAGGATTCTTCCTACTCTATTGTAATGCCTGTCAGGCTTCTTTCTGTTACCACCCCTTGTCGTATATCCTTGCAGAGAGGTCACAGTGTGCCAGCTCTTGAGGCCTGGGAGAGGCTAAGTCCCCTTCTGTAGCCTCTGGCCCCTTCCTATACCTACCTTCCCCTCCTACTTCTGCTCCTCACTTCATGGGGGCCATCTCTCTGCCTCTGCCTGCCTGAGGAAGGATCTTGATGCAGCACTCCACAAGAAGCTCTCTCCTCCTGTGTTACTGGAGAATGGCAGCAGGGCCAGGTGTCACCTGCTTCTGCCCCCACCCCTCACACACTCATTCTGCCCAGCACACAATTTTGTTCCTGTCTCTACTCTTTGTGTTTGTTTGAGGATAGAAGCTGCCAGCTGGGAAACGTGGCAGTTGCTCTGTTACCTTCTTACCATCCCATCTGTAGTTTTCATCCTGGTCCTCTGACTCTGCATTCCATATGCTCCCAACCTCCTCATTAACAGAAAGTCTACAGTTCATCTTTGTCTTGGTACTTAGATCACCATTTCTCACCCAGATTGTTGTAATCACCTCCTAATTTGCCTGCCTGTCTCTAAATCCTTCCTTCACTCTGCAACCACAGGAGGCTTTATACTTCACTATTCTGATTCAGTTAGAATCAGAATCCTTCAGCGTCTCTCACGGCTGTCAGAATCAAGCTGAAGCTCTTTAGCGTGGTTTTCTCATTCCACCCTCCCATCCTACATCCTCCCCCGCCCCCATAAATCTTATATATATCTAATTCAGCTTATTTTTGTTATTGTTGTTGCTGAGAAAATGCACAGCAAAACTTATACCAATTCAACAATTTCTAATGTACAGTTCAGTGACATTGATTACAGTCTTCAAGTTGTGCCACCATTCTCACCTTCCGTTTCTGAGCTGTTCCTCCCTGGCTAACATAAACTTGTGGCCCCTAAGGTTCCTATCTAATTTTTTGAGTTGCTGTTGTCAGTTTGATCCCATATAGATAGATCTTAGAAGAGCACAGTGCTCAAGGCAGACATTGTTTACTAGTTAAGCTGAACTATTGTTTGGTTTAAAGAAGACTTCAGGGGATGTTTTTGGTTTAAGTATAGTCTTTTTTTTAACAGCCACTTTATTAAGATATAATTCACATATCATAAAATTCACCCTTTTAACGTGTAAAATTCAGTGGTTTTTACTATATTCACAGTTATGTAACCATCACCACCATCTAATTTTAGAACACGTTCGTCACCCCAAAGAGAAGCATACACCCATTAGCAACCGGTCCTCATCCCCCCTCTCTCAGCCATGGCAACCATTAATATACATTATGGATCTCTGTGGATTTGCCTGTTCTGGACATTTCATATAAATGGAATCATACAATATGTAGCCTTTTGTGGCTGGCTTCTTTCACTTAACAATGTTTTCAATATGTCATAGCACGCATCTGTGTTGTAGCATGTATCATAACTTCGTTCCTTTTTATGGTTAAATAACATTTCTTTGTATGAATATACCATGTTTTGTTTACCTATTCATGTGTTGATAAGATATATTTAGATTGTTTCCATTCTTTGACTAATATGAATAAGGCTTCTATGAACATTCATGTACAAGTTGTTGTGTGGACATATGTTTTCAATTCTCTCGAGCATATAACTATGAGTGGAGTTGCTGGTGGTGCTGCTAATGGAAAGGTTGGCGGTTCAAGCCCACCCAGTGGCTCTTCCACTGGAGAAAGACCTGGTGATCTGCTCTTGTAAAGATTACAACGTAGAAAACTCTATGGGGCAGTTCTACTCTGTCACATGGTGTCTCTATGAGTTGAAATAATCTCCACGGCACCTAACAATGATAACATGGTAACTATGTTTAACCATTGCAGGAACTGCCAAACTGTTTTCCAAAGTGGTGGCATTATTTTATAATCCCAACAGCAATGTATGAGTGTTCCAGTTTCTTTACATCCTCCCCAACATTTGTTATTGTCTGTCTTTTTCATTTTATCCATTCTATCTTCCTAAATCTTAATTGCAACTTACATAGTTCTTACTATTTACTAGGCACCATTCTAAGTATAATTTAAATCTCGCAACATCCCTGTGAAGTAGGTACTTTTATTATCCCCATTTTACAGATAAGGAAACTGAGGTACTGAGAGATTAAGTAATTTGGCGCCACAGCCAATACTTGTTAAAGCTGGGATTCAAATAATAAGTAGTTCAGTTCCAGAGTCTGTGCTCTAACCATCATGTTGTATTGCCTCTCATAGACACCGATATTAATATGCTTAGTGTGTATCTCTTTGTATGTGTTTTGTAAAATGTGTATTTAATTTACACAAATGATATTGTGCTACATATCTCTTTTCCCCTTACTTTTTTCACTAAGCCCTGTTTTTTACGATCCATCCATATTGCTCCATCGAATCTGTTGCTTCCAGCTGTCAAATACTGACCATGATGGGCACTCACCACATTGTATCTGTCTGTTCTCCCAGGGAGCTGGGCTCTCAGGCCTTCAAGTCTGGCCTCTGCTTACTCTGTAGTGTCTTCTTCCACCACTCCCTGAACCCAGCCTATGCTCTGGAAGTGCTGACCTCCTAGCACTTCCTAGAGGTGCCACAGTGTTTCAACTAACAACAACAACAATAGTTAATAATTATTCTGTGCCTTTGTTCTTCAAGGCCAGTGGAGGTTCCAGATCATCTAGTTCCAATCTCATTTTACAGTTGAAGAGAATGGCTTAGAAAAAATGACTTGCTCTAGTTTAAAGAACTGGAACCCAGCCTCCCCACTCCTTATCCCTGTCAGCTTTCTCCTCCCTCTTCCTCCCTCTTCATTCCTCCCCTGCCTCTCACAGACAAAAGCCCCACCTCCTTCTCCCCTGCTCCCATGCCAGCTCTAAGATATCAGTGTAGTTAGAACACAGATCCCCTCTGTCCCCTTGCAGGCTCTTGCTGCAACCCAACACAGCCTCCCTGTTTTGGAATCTGTGATTTGCTGTCAAATCCTATTCCTCTTGCAGCAGTGTTGCCGCTGTGATTCTTTTCCCTTTCTTTTCAAACTTGTTATAGCCCGGCTTTGGCTCTACAGTGCCCGACAGGCTGATGCAAGAGGCCTCAGGAAAACACTTGGCCTCATTGTTGCCCTGGGATCTGATCCTGCTCCCCTCAGCTCTATGCTCTCCACTGGTCTCATTCTTTCCTCTAACCCTATTCCCTTCTGTCTCTCCATTTCATTCATTCATCTAACAAATATTTATTAACTATCTCCTGTGTGGCAAGAGGAGCCCTGGTGGTACAGCAGTTAAGAGCTTGGCTGCTAACCAAAAAAGATCAGCAGTTTGAATCCACCAGCTGCTCCTTAGAAACCCTATGGGGCAGTTCTACTCTGTCCTACAGGGTGACTATGAGTCAGAATTGACTCAGCGGCAATGGGTTTGGTTTGGTTTTATGTGGCAAGAACTGTGCAGTTAGCTGGGAGGGTGTTAAGAGGATATAGAGATAAGCAAGTTATGTCTCCGGTCCTCAAGGGGCTTACAATCCAGTTGGGGAACCAAGACTTAGACATGTGAGAAGTTACTGCAAGAGTTTTCATAATGCAACACGGCAACACAAGAGACGTCACAAGGCAGCATATAAGTCAAGGCTAGTGAGGCTGGGTGGCCTGGTGGGAAGAGCACTGGGCTAGAAGGTAGATGACCTGGGTTTGAGACCCAGGTTCATCATCACTGATTGTGTGTCCTTGGGCCAGCTACTTGACCTTTCTGAGCTTTAGCTTCTTCTTCTGTGACGTAGGGACGATACCCTCACAGACCTTTGGGAGGAACGACTGAGGGAGCTTGTATAAAGCTCCCAGCATTGTGTGGCACATAGTAGGTGATCAGGAAACAGATGGCTCTGAAAGGCATGTGTGCAGCAGGAGTTTGAGGGAGTGGAGATTTTACTCTGCCTCACCTTCCTGCTCTGTCTTATCCCCTACACTTTCCCCTCTGACTCTACTCCCTCTCTCCTGATAAGGAATTATTCTCGTTTCCACCATCCGATGTATGGGAACTGCTACACCTTCAATCACAAGAACAACTCCAACCTCTGGATGTCTTCCCTGCCTGGGATCAACAATGGTGAGCACCTTTCCCTTCCCTCAATCCCAGACCTTGACCTCGCCGCCTTTCCCACCACCTGGCCTACATTTATTGGCGTTGAGTTTACATCCCCATAAGTAGAGATATTGTGTGCCTTCTGGGCCTCACCACCAATGCCCACCTCTATCCTGGAAGGAGTCCTTTCTGTTCTTTTTCCCTGTGGGCACCACATGGTCCATTCCAGGCATGATAGGAATCCTGGCCCAGGCCTTCCTGCCTGCCCCCACACTCCAGCACTGTTGTTGTTGTTGTGTGCCACTGAGTCGATTCTGACTCATAGTGACCCTATATGACAGAGTAGAACTGCCCCGTAGGGTTTCCCAGGCTATTATCTTTATGGAAGAAAATTGCCAGGTCTTTTTTCCTGCGAAGTGGCTGGTGGGTTCGAACCACTGATGTTTCGATTAGCAGCCAAGCGCTTTAACCCATTGCACCACCAGGGCTCCTTGGACTCCAGCACAGGGGTTGCCAAATCCATTTGTAGGTCTTCCTGGCCTTCATCTCCTCAGAGCATTAAAGACTAGGCAGGGTGGATGGGTGGGTTTCCATCTCTAACTCTTCTCCACAATTATTTCTTTCTTCCTCTCCACCCCCCACCCCCCATGCTCCCAGGCCTGTCCCTGGTGCTACGCACAGAGCAGAATGACTTCATCCCACTGCTGTCCACGGTGACGGGGGCCAGGGTCCTGGTGCATGGGCAAGATGAACCTGCTTTCATGGATGATGGCGGCTTTAACTTGCGGCCTGGCGTAGAGACGTCCATCAGCATGAAGAAGGCAAGGATGCTGACTGGGAAACCTGGGAGGAGAGCCCCAGATTGGAGAGGCTCTGGGAGGTGAACTTGGCATCCAGAAGACTGTGGAGGAAGATCATGTAGGATGGGCATTGAGCTTGTGAGGGTCTTCAGGAGCAGAAATGAGGGGCTAGGGGGCTGGCAGAATGGACATTCGGAAGTAGGACCCTGGGAAGTGGGCTTTGGGTGGGAAGGTGCTGAGAAAGGGGTCAGAGGATGCTTAGGAATGGCTCTCTGGGCCCAGTGTCCTTGGAAGTAGCACGGGATGGGTATTGGGGGCTGCTGGAGATACATGTTTTTAGATGGTGAGCTGATAGAAGAAGCTGGCAGGGTGTGAGATACCCCGGGGAATGCGGGAAGAAAGAATCCAGGCAGTAGCCTGGGCTGCTTGCTCTGATTTCTTACCTGCTGGTGTGGGGGTTCATAGGAAGCCCTGGACAGACTTGGGGGCAACTATGGTGACTGCACTGAGAATGGCAGCGAAGTCCCTGTCAAGAACTTTTACCATTCCAAGTACACTCAGCAGGTGAGGTCCCACCTGTCAGTCAATCAAGGTTGTGGGGGAGGGGGCCGAGGGTGGGGCATGGTGGGGAGGCTTGTGGAAAGAGGGCTGGAGATGCTGTGCAGAAAATTTTTGTCCTTCCCTGCCCTACCCCTTCTGGGCTGTGTAGGGGAAGGGGGAGGGGGTCTGTCAGGTCTGAACTCCCTTTCCTCTTCATTCCCCTCTCTTCCAGATGTGTATTCATTCCTGCTTCCAGGAGCGCATGATCAAGGAGTGTGGCTGTGCCTACATCTACTACCCAAAGTCCGAGGGTGTGGAGTATTGTGACTACTGGAAGCATACCTCCTGGGGTGAGAATCCAGGGAGCCCCCTGCCCTTCCCCACCTGACCCCAGGACTTTCCCATGAGCTCTCTCCTCTCTCTGCGGGCATGGCCTCTGGCTCCCACCAGCCCTGAAGAATTCTCCCTCTCATGCTTCTTTTTTAGCCCTTAGCCTTGCTCTCTCTGCTTTCCTCTCTCTCTGTCTCTCTTCTCTCTCTTCCTCCTTGACAGTTTCTCTTTCTTTGTTTTGGCTTCTGTGTGTTTGTCAAAGAACTGCCCCATTTAAAAATAACCTGCAGCATAAGGAAGAAAGAGCACATGAGGGAAATCTCAAGCAGGAAGGGGCCAGTCATTCCAGTGGTTCTGTGCTCTGCCCACTGAGATTTCAGCCAACGCTCTGCCCACCGCTCCCCCAGCTCAGCCCTTGGGCTACTTAGCAGGGATGGCTATTGCCAACACCTTACCCAGCCACTAGGGTGCTGGTCTCCAAAACGGAGTGCTGGGGGGCATGAGACAACTCACTGGGGTACAGAAAGAAAATATTAGAAGTTACATGTATTGATCTCATTCCTTAACATTTTCCATTTTATGTATGTTTTATAAAGTACAGGTATGTAATTTGTAAATTAAATACATATATTGGAGGTGCTTGTGTAAAATTTTTTTACCCATAGGAGGACACAATCCAAAAGGTTTGGCGAGCACTGAAATCTCCTTCTCTTGGTCTAGGGGAGACAAATCCCTTTTTCTTTCCACTTTAGCTGAGTTATTCAGCAGGGAAGCTGTGTACTAGGAAGCTGAGCAAAAAACCAATCCCAAACAAGAAAATATAGAAGGTGTTTGTATTCCTGGTGCACACATTCTTATCTAGCCAGAGGTAGCCTTGGCTGGCACAGCTGACCAGGCCTCCCGTAGCTCCTCCTCCTCTTCCTCCCACAGGGTGGTGAGGGAGTAGGTGGGCAGCCCATGCTGGGGGAGAGGGAGCCTTCACACTCCTCAGGAAACACAGCCATGGACACTGCAGACATGGAGGCATTTCTTCTTCCTTCCTCCTGAAGGATTGTTTCACCCCAGAGTTTAGTGAACTTCCCCATCTCGGTTCTGTCTGTTTATCTTTCTTTCTGCCTCGTTTCTTCCCTGGGTCCGCTCAGGCCCCATTTGCTCCCCCTGCCTGTACTTCCTGTCTCCTGCTGCCTCCCACTTCCTCTCTCTCTGAACTTAGAGGATTATAGCACAACAGAACTGGAGGGAAATTCGGAGGCCATCTCACCTCACCTTCTCCTTTTGTAGATGAGCAAACTGAGGCCCAGAGGGGGGATGTGACACATCCCAGAACATGTTGAGCCAGGACTCCTACCCCACAACCCCTACCCTCCAAAAAAAATTATTTCTAAGTTGTTGTGAGTTGGAAGAAGATGTATGAGAGAAAAATAACAATATTCATTCCTGGGAAATTGTGAGGGTTAAGATGAGGAACTAAGGCTAAAGACAAGGTCCTTTGAGTTTTCTACATACTGCTTACTCCCCAGAGAAAAAGACCCAGCTGCTTCTCATTCTTCCTAATTTTATTTTCATTTTTTTAAATTGTACTTTGATGAAGGTTTACAGGACAAATATTTTCTCATTAAACAGTCAGTACACATATTGTTTTATGACATTGGTTAACAACCCCATGACATGTCAACATGCTCCCGTCTCGGCGTTGGAGGACCCTGTTTTTTCTTTGGTGAAAATAAACATAGCCAAAGATACACCATTTCAAAAATTTCTACATGTACAATTCAGTTACGTCTATTACGTTCTTCCAGTTGTGCTGCTATTCTCACTTCAGATGAAGGTTTCCAGAACAAAATAGTTTCTCATTAAACAGTTAGTACACATATTGCCCTATGACAATGGTTAAGAACCCCACTACATGTCAACACTGTCCTTACTCAACCTTGGG